AGTACCCGGGCATGTGGCGCGGCATCGGCGAGGTCATGTGCCGCCACGACGACCTGACGACGCTGCTCCAGGAGAACGAGACGCCCTGCATGAACCACGTCGCGCTCGAGCCCATGTACGAGTTCTGCGTCAAGCACGGCCTCAACTGCATGATGCACCAGAACGCGGACCGCACGGCCAAGGTCGAGTCCAACGGCTTCTACGAGTACCAGTTCGAGATGGAGCAGGTCCTCGAGAAGTTCCCCGAGCTCAAGCTCGTCTGGTGCCACGCGGGCGTGTCGCGGCGCACCTTCGAGCCGAACCACCACGAGATGCTCGACGAGCTCATGGACAAGTACCCGAACCTCACCGCGGACATCAGCTGGGTCGTCTGGGAGCTCACGATCTGCGGCGAGGACGGCGTGCCCAAGCCGGGCTGGGTCGACCTCTTCGAGAAGTACCCGGACCGGTTCACGATCGGCTCGGACCAGGTCGGCCAGTTCATCGGGCCGGGCGGCCAGAACTGGCTCAAGCCCGAGATCGTCAAGTACTGGACCCTCGCCAAGTGCCTCACGCCGGAGACCTGCCGAAAAATACTGTACGAGAACGCGGAGCGCATCTGGTTCGACGGCTGGGAGATCCCGTCCTCCGACGACGTCCGCTTCCGCCAGATCCCGCCGACGATGAGGTGCGAGACGCTCTGGATGAACGAGGGCAAGTTCGTGGTCGAGGACGAGCTTTTTTAGTCGCCGGCTGTATCGCACAGATCCCCCCCTTGCGCGCCCCTCCCATTATAAAATTTACTACGTTGGAAAGACCGTCTCGAGATTGTGTCTGGCGCCCTCGTGGCCCGCAGCGGCCGCGCGGATCCACCAGCGTTTGGCCTGCTCGAAGTTGCATTGATTGTAACACAAACCACCGATTGAGTTCCAGGCTTTAATGAATCCTCGATTCGCTGCAAGTGTGAAGTAAGACATGGCTGCCGTTTCGTCTCCGGCGACCCTCAAACTGCTTCCAAGGTTGAATTGCCCATTCACGTTTCCCCGGTCTGCTGCAAGCTGATACAACTGCCTGGCTTTCTTCTGGTCCATTTTAACGCCGTCTCCTCGCTCGTACAGTCGCCCAAGACCCACCATCGCCATCGTGTTCCCAAGCTCCACGGCACGCTTGTAGAGCTTCGCGGCCTTCTTCGCGGATTTCGGGACGCCGATGGACGCATAATCTCCTTCCATGTATCTCTGTGCCAGATGAGCGATCGCTTCAGAAACGTCGTTCTCCACGTGACGACGAAGACGCGCGAGCTGCTCCACATCGGTTCCATCGCTCGGTAAACGACAGAGGGGACACGCGTCGCGGAGCCCGATCTTGTACTCGCACGATTGGCAGACCTTTAGGCAGCAACAGATGCGAAGCATCTCCTGATTATTCACGTCCCAGGCCTCGAGACAGATCGGGCACCGCGACCCGAACCGCGCCGACTCCGGCTCCGGCTCCGGGTTCGCCTCGCGCCGCGCGCGAGCGGCTTCGTGTTCCGCCGCGATGCGCGCGCGGATCTCGTCCGCGTGCGACCGGGGCGCGGGGCC